ACGCCCCTTCCCGCACGCACGGCCCGCGTTCAAGTGGGGGGTCCCGTCTGTCTAACCAGGCCTTATGTCCCTTCTGGGTTGGTTAGGTGCTACGCTCGTCTGAGAGGAAGAAACGTTGACTAGGAAACTGGCTAGCACCGCAGGTAATGCTATAGACCAAACCGCAGTAAGAACACCATTACGATTCCAATATAGGTACGGCGCACCCCAACATGGATTGATACAAAAAGCCAGTTCTGCACTTGGCCGTTATCGGCACTTCGGTAGATGAGATCAGTGGCTGGAGTTCATGACTGGACGTAATCTGTTGTAACTTGCAAACATTTTTGGCAGCCACACTTGGGATATTTTGCTTCTATGGAGAGAAAGTACGTAAAACAGTCGCAACAATCCATAATGAACACACCATACAGAGATTAGATGAGCGGATACTTCGATAGAGCGCTCATCACTCGTTAACTTTCCGGAATCGTATAATTTGAATAACCCTTGCCATGCGATAGGCATTTTTCCATCAAGTTTGATAGCCTAAACTAAACACTTTTCCATTAAGAAGTATGTTAAAGAAAGTGGTCGCTGTCACGGACCTTTTCGTAAAGATCCTTAGCCTTGGTTTTATCATCCATGTTGGCGTAAGCTAACGCGGCAAAGCAGAACATCATGTAGTCTTCAACGCCATCATCAAGAAACTCCTAAAATTGAATTCGTAAGTTTTTTTTTCAAGATTCTGAATTTGAAAGTTTCTCAAGATTCTTACCTGCAGTCATACAAAACCGACAAGTAAAGTACAACTAACCTGCAGCACTTTCAAGGCATCCTCACTATGGTTTTCGCCCAGTAACTTTTTCGCTTGCTTGAGAGCGGCTTTTAGTTCCGCCATTTCACAAGAGCCTGTCAAACTCAGAATCTATAGAGCACAAAATTCAGAAACCAAAGGCAAAATACATGTGGCTTTACACAGCTATCACTGACGATGACGTAAAACACTACATTTATTTGAATCTCTTGCGCTATATCTATACAACCTAAAAAATAACAGAAAGAGCCCACGCTGTAGTGCACTAGAATAACTAAAATATGTGACACTGCAGTAAGACAATCTAAAAATCGATTCCAAACATGGGTGCAAGTTTTCCCGATCCACACGTGGTCAGTGTACGACCTCGTTGACGATCCCACCACAACATTTCTCCATCCAAGCAAGCTTCGTTGGACTTGTCCTGAAATTCAGTGCTAGAAGCTGTCTGTTTCAACAAGCACCACATGCGTCTTAGAATGACTCTTTACCGTAAGGGCTGCGTTCATACTTTGTGTTAGCGTATGGCAGCGTTTCGAGCGCACGCCATCGTCGCGACTAGGAAAGTATAGGTATTGACATACAGCGTAAAAGCGTTTTCACGGTGGTTTCGAGATTGAAAAGTTGCCCCGAAAACGCTGGCGTACACTAGATCGATATCTATAGTTTCCTAGTCGCTCGGAATGTACGCTGAACACCAATAATTTCCTAGTCGTCGGCGTACACTGACGCAGAGACAGCCTGAAGGTGATCAGTTTAACAGAAATGGACTTACTATTGGTATGAAGACAATCCTTGTGTAAAGATAGAATATCAGAAGAACAGATCCCACATAAAGGAACACCGATCGCGGAGTCATTCGGAAGAATTCTGCCTGTGTCATGTCAGCCGAATACCAACGGAACATGGCAGGATCCATCACCACACCCTCCTGAAATTCGATTCATGACTGGGCAGAAAACTAAAAAATTAAGGTAAGATAGGTCTTCATCAGAGCGTTACGCACGAGGTGCTTCCGAATAACCAATAACAGATGACCAATCCCCGAGCGAGCTTGCGTTTATACTTTGTGACGGTAGAATAAAGCACCGACGATTCGACGTTTCGTGACATCCGTTCTTCCAAAAATGTCGTATCGCTGGTGCCCGAAGTCAATCACTAGCCATACTCATTTGACGCGCGTTCACCAACTTCAAATCACCTTTTAGGCAGCTTTCGGACTTCGCGGTAACGCGCGTTGACGCGCTGTAACGCGCCTCGACGCTCCATAACTGCAGCTTCACTGATATAGTCGCGACCGCAGACGTTAATTGGAGAACGCCGGCCGCTTGTGTATTGAGAGTACTGAGGAACAGGAGGGTATGCGCTGCCTTGTCACGCAGTCTGGTATCGGTCGACACTGGCGCTGTGACTTTTGAAAAGCATACAAGAATGAGAGAATAACATATTGTATGAAGGCAGCTCTTACCCTCCTGTTATCCTACACTCTCTCAAAGCACAAGGGGCGGCGACGATCGATTCCTCGCCTGCGGTAGCGTTCAAGTTTATAATACTGGAGCGCTACTGCAATGGTACCGCGCCGAAGCGCATCATCGCGAAGTCTAAACACTGCCTTATCCTTGCGCAAAGTATGAACGCAGTCGTCGGAAAAAGTAATATGAATATTGGCTCCTCAAGAGGAAAAAAAGAATGGTGACGTTATGAGCCTATGAATGATTACTTTAGTTTGTCCAGGGTGATGTACAGTGTCGAAGATTCCAAGAGAAAAAAGATCAAAAGGTGAGCAGTGCATATTGGGAAAAGGAAATAGGTGCCGTATTGGCACCGTAGGTGGGACTTTGAAGGAAGAAATATGAGTGTTCACTCCTGAAAATCATCTTCCAGATAATATCAAAAGGTAAAGTCGAAATATAACAATCGGCAAATGAGCCTCGACGGGAAAACGTGGTGTGAAAACGATAGAAAATTACCAACAAAAAAAAACTTGGCAAATCGTTGAATCATGCCGAAACCTCTTCACAGCTTCAAGCAGACCCACACTACACCGAAGAGAGAAGTTGTTGGAAAGTTTTCAGGAAGATGGTAATATCT